GGGGTGGGAATAAACTGAGGATTGTATCATGGATCTCGGCCCAAAACTCCAGGATTTCATCTTGCTGGTTTCAGCATGGGCTTGTGGACCCCACAGGAATTGATAAGAGTTGACAGACCCTGGGAGTCACCTCAGGCCTGGCGGTGTTTCTCAGGGGCACAGAACATACTTTTCTGACCGCGAGGCATGCTAACTCTGGTCAGGGACAGCAGGTAGGAGTGGGAGGAGGACAGGTGATATGGGCCTAATAGAGGAAGAAGGATGAGATGGCGTGTGCACTTTCAGCAGGGAGATACCACCTTGAATTTAACGAAAGTACCCTCTGCAGTTTTCCTTGAGGGCACTGCTCTAGGACCTCACAAGGTCAGCCTCTACCCTGAGAACCCTGTAGAGGAAATTAGAGTGAGGCTTAAGCTGCAGCCTGCCAGCCCTGCCTAGGGCTTGGTGGGGTGACAACAAGGGCTGGCAGTGGGCTCCTTTGTATTGGGGTCAAGGGGTCCTCTCAGTCCACTTTCATGGCCAACATATCAACGGTTGGCAGGGCCTGGGCCCCCTCCCCTCTGCTTCTCTGAACTTGACACGTCAGAGTCCCTGGGACCCTCTAGGAGAAAAGGAAGGGTCATCCCAGCCACCACCCCTGGCAGGGTGTAGACCCCCAGTGCTGACAGCACAGTGGGGCCTTTTCTATCCTGGGTTCCTTAGAGACCTCAGTCCTCATTCAGGGTCCTCACTCAGCTCCATGTAGGGGCTGGGACTCCTTCCTTCTGCCGACCAGTGGCTGCACCTGCAGACCAAGAATCTCCCCTCCCTTCGACCGGATGTACAGAAGTGAGGGGGCCTCAGACTGACAGCCCTCCTTGGGCCTACAGGGGCTGAAAGCAGGGTCAGGGCCAGACTCTGCCTTGTTCCCTCCATTCAACAGTGGGTGGTCCCCTCAGTCCTCACTCAGGTCCTTGCTTTAACTCTGGACAGGGCCTGGGACTCTTCTCTCTATTGACAACACTCCTGTCTCTAATACCAATTCCTGCGCTTTCTGAGACCCAATAGAAAGAAGCAAGGTTTGCCTTATCAAGCCATACTTGCCAAGGTTCTCTCAAGGCTGAAAGCTACAGCAGGCAAATTGAGGACCTACAGTGAATGGTCCTAGCATCCTTACTCAGGGTCCTAAATCTGACTTTGGGGAGGGCCCAAGCTTCTACCCTCTGCTGATCTGGGACCACTCCCCAAGGAGGAATTGAGAGGCAACTCTGGCTGACATTTATGTTTAGGGTCTCCCAGGGCTGACAATATGGGAGTGATTCTGTTATTGGATGGGTGGTCCTCGCAGTTCTTAGTGTTCTTACATTGACAGCTAGTACAACCTGGAAATTCTCCGTTTGTGAACCTGAGGCCCCTCCCATCAAATCAAAGCCCTCACCTTCCCGAGGCCATGGAGGCATAAAAAAGCTTCCTTGGATTGGTAACTGGGGTGAGACTATGCGACCCCACATTTCTGGGATCAGTGTCCCTTTTTGTTCTCACTCAGGCAAGATCTGGGACTCCTTCCTCAGCCCATCTGAGCCCTCCAGCCTCAGATGAAGTCTTTCAGATCCCTGACACCATCCCTGGAGGAAGTGAGCAGACACTTCACCCTGACAACTCTGCACTGTGCCTTCCAGAGCTGACAGTAAGGTTGGCACTCTGTGCTGGCCTCCTGCTTTCTGGGGGGAATAGTCCCCTCTGTCCTCACTCAAGGTTCTTATTTTGACACTCAATCAGTCTTCAGTTCTCCCCCTTGGCAGACCTGGTACCAGGCCCTTCAGACCAAGGTCATCACTTTCCTGGACCTCCAAGGCAGTCTTCAGGATGAGCCACATCCAGCCGTATCTGTTTGGTTCTTCTGAGGGCTGATGGCACGGGTGTGTTTCTACGGGACTCCACTGTTCTATAGTCTGAGGTTCCCTCAGTTGTCACTCAGAATCCTCACCTTGGTATTTGTCAGAGCCTGAGACACCTCCCTTTACTGACCTGAGACCTCCAGCCTGAGAACAAGGGCCTTACCTTCCTGAGTCTCTAGAGGGGAGGAGTAAGGGTGTGCCACATCTGGCTACCCCTGCCTAGGGCCCTACGTGCCTGACAGCAGGGACAGGGCTCTGTGTAGCCCCTTCTGTTGTGGGGGGATCCACTTATCAGCACTCAGGGTCTTCACTTTGATTCCAATTAAGGCCTATTAGGAACTTCCCCTTCTGTAGAATGTGGGTCACCACCAATACACAAAGGTCCTCACCTACCTGAGACCACCCACCAGAGGAAGTGAGAAATGAGGAGTTATCTTAGCCAGATACTTCTGCTCATGGCTGCCCAGTGGGTCCCCATTGGTCTGGGGTGGGTGTTTCTCTCATTCTTCATTCAGGGTCCTCACCTTAACACCTGACAAGTTCTGGGACTCCACCCTTCGTTGACCAGGCATTGCTATGCTCAGACCAAGGTCCTCAATTTCCCGAGATCTCTGAAGTGGTCCCTGAGTCTTCAGGGAGGAACGCCAGGGGTCACCACATCTAGATTCCCCTGCCTTGGTTCTCCCAAAACTGACAGTAGTGGCAGAGCTCTGTGGGGACCCAAGTTCTGGGGAAAATTTCCCTCAGTCCTTACTCAGGGTCCTCATCTTGATTCCTGGCAGACCCTGCATCTCTCTTTCTACAGCGGCTTAGATAAATGTTCTTGGGTCTCTGAGACTCCTGAAGAGTGAAAGGATGCTCAGCTTGACAACCCTGCCTAAGGCCATCTAGATCTGAGTGCAGACAGGGCTGGTGTCTATGTGGCCCCCTATATTCTTGGTGCTGTTCTCAGTCTTTATTCACTGGGGGCCTCATGTTGGCTCCTATCTCTTTTATGAAAGGCTTCCTATGAAATGTCACATCGCTGCAACTCTTGAGAGTTTCCCTACTGCAAATCTTGCAGAGAATGGGTCTCTGTCCCAGAGTGATGTGAGATGGCACCCTGCAGCACAAGGTAGGAGGCCCAGGACGGGTAGTGGGCTGTCAGAGAAAACACACATGCTAAACTGTTCCTCCTCTTCACCACCCAGACTTAGTCTTTTATGTAACTTATGTTCTAACAGATTTACTTCCTACAGGGAAGGGCGAGTCCAGTATGATTTTGTGACCCCCTGATCTTTTGAGTTATCTGACACTGCATATGTTGTTGTGTTGTTAGGTGCCATCGAGTTGGTTCCGACTCACAGCGACCCTATAGGACAGAGTAGAACTGCCCCATAGGGTTTCCAAGGAGTGGCTGGTAGATTGGAACTGCCAACCTTTTGGTTAGCAGCTGAGTTCTTAACCACTATGTCCACCAGGGTATATATAGATGATAATATTGCTACTGATTATTATCTTTTTTTTCTTATGCATACCTCTAATTTATTTTGGTATTCTTATTACTCTGGCAATGTTTTCCACTCCAGTAACTGGGCACAGAGTCCTTCTATAACCACCAAGGTACATTTTGTAGTGGTGAGAAGAAAAATGGATTAAGAGACACAAGGTCTGCCTCTGGTTCGGAGTTATGGAACAGTGTGGGCTCCAAATGGATTCAGACCAGGGATCTGGTCCAGCCCTGTCACTTACTAGCCTTGTGAACTTGAGAAGTATGCAAGTGCTTCATCTGCAGAGTGAGACTGATAAGCCCCATCTTGTCCATCTGTGAAAATTTATGGAGTGTAATAGAAAGCACTTGGCAAACTGTTTGGGAAATATTGTGTTTAACGAATGGCAGTCATCATATGATTATTTTGAATTGAGAAAATAAAACTGTTTCATCATAATTTTTTTTATTTTTTTAAAATCCTGTAGATATCATAACATATGCAATGCTCTAGATCAAAAACAAACAAACAAAAATTCCTAAATAAGGTAATCTAATCCAGGTGTGTGTGTGTCTATACATATATATGCATCTTTAGTGATAAGGCAAACCAACTATTGCCACCCTTCACTTTTTAGAATTTTTTCCATTTTGTAATCCTAACTGCTTTAATGTGGGGTTCTTTCACATTTCCATGAATATCCCTATTCCAACTAGTACTCTAGAACATCAAGAAAATACTGAAGACTTTTCAAATTGTTTTATCAATACCGAAACTCTAGGTCTTAAACCTGATAAACAACAGAAAATGTAATGACCATACCATTCGTAAACTTACATTCTGAAGCAAAACAAACCTTATATTAAAAGGCACAACAGAGAGAGAGAAAGAACTATAAGCTACTCAGGAACACAAAGAAGATACACATTTCGTTTCCTCCAGCTCCACCTCGGCCCCTACTAAGAAAGTTGACAGACCTTTTAACCACTAAGTGAAGAATCTGTTCATACTTCACTAGATGCTAGAGAATCTACTAGACTTGGCCCTGGAAGATGCACTGGCTGTAACAGTAGAACTAGCAGTGGCTGCAACTTTGGCTCCGGCTCTCTCTTCCTCATCTCTCAGAGCCTCTTCATACAGAGCTGGGAAGGAACTGGGAACTGTATCGTTGTACTTGGCTACAAACTCCAGAACTTTCATCTTGGTGGTTTCAGCTTGGGC